CCCCTCTTTTTTCGCGCCGCCCTTCGTTGTTTTCGAGCACAGCGTTCCGAGCAAGAAAGCAAAGAGGCGGTGACTCCTTTTTAAAAGGGGTCACCGCCTCTTCTCGTTTCACGCGCTATGCGCTGCTAGCAGCTCACAGGATGAAGGGGTACTGGCTGATGGAGAGGCTCTCCTGAGCCTTGGGGAACTTCATGCCGCGAACGACCTTGGTCACGCAGTTGCCGACATCGGTGCCGCGGAACTTGGCGGACTTGGAGATGATGTTCGCGCTCGAGACGCGCCCGCTGGGGCTGACATCGATCGAGACCCAAACCTTACCCTTGAGACCGCCGGAGTTGTTGTTCCTGGCGCAGGTCGAGATCCGACCGTTGTACTTGCGGATGGTGCCCTGGACCTGTGACTTGGAGAGCTTTTGAGGCGTGGAAGACGAGGATGAAACCGCCGTCTTGCCCGAGTCCTTTGGCTTGTCCTTGTCGTCGATCTTCTTGAGCAAGCTGTCGATGTCAGATTCTTTGCCCTTTCGGCTACCAGAGTCTGACTTTGCAGGCGTATCGTCCTTCTTGCTGCTGCTCTTGGACGAAGACGACTTACGAGACGAGCTGCTCTTGCGCGTGCTCTTCTTCTTGTCGTCCTTGTCATCCTCTTCAGCGTTCTCGTCTTCTTTCTCGGCGAGCGCTGCTTGCTGTGCGTCGAGCTTTGCCTTGGCATCGGCGGCAGCTTTTTCAGCCGCGGCGAGCTTCTCGGCGGTGCCGCTGTCGTCCTTGACGACTTCGCGGATGACCTCTTTCTGAACGACGACCTGAGGCTTCTCGGGCTCCTTGTTCACCACGAGCAGGATGACCGCGACCATGGCGCCGATCAGCACCACGGCGGCGACGCTGACGCCGATGATCAAGCCCTTGTTATCGCGGTGTGAGCCGCGAGGCATGATCGCTGGCATGCTCATGGTGCCGGGCGAGAAGGAGTCTGCCGCGGGCGCCGAGGACGAGGGGCCGCCACCAAAGGAGTCGAAGCCACCGCCGCCGCCACCGCTCATTTGCTGGTGCGTGCTGGCGAGCGACTGGATGTCGATGAGGCCGGAGCCCTCTGTGAGCGGGACGTCATCGGAGGGACCTTTGACAGCTTCGACTTGTTGGAGGCTGCTCAGGCTGAAGAGGACGGAGTTCTCGTTACGCGAGCCGATCATATCGTTCGCGTTGGAGAAGCCGTCTGCCTGGAAGCCGCCAACACCGCCGCCGCCGTTGGCTCCATTGGAGCCGTTCGAGCCGTTCGCGCCGTGGCCGAGGTCGACATCACCTGCGGAGTCGATCCCCGAGAAGCTCTGGTAGGCGAGCCCACCGGAGTTTCCTGCGTCCATGTCGAAGTTGGCGAACATGCCGTTGTCGCCACCCATATCCGAAGCGTTGCTCTCGTAGGATGCCATACCAGCACCGGCGCCAGCGCCTCCATAACCGCCGCCCATATCAGCGGAGCCGTAGTCGGAGGAGCCATAGTCGCCTGCGCCATAGTCCGAGGAACCATAGCCGCCATCGGCGCTCATCGATGCCTCTCCGTAGCCGCCGCCCATATCAGCGGAGCCGTAGTCGCCCGCGCCATAATCGCCCGCGCCATAATCGGAGGAGCCGTAGCCGCCGTCCTCGTACCCGTTCGAGCCTGCGCTCGCTGGGACGTAGTCGCCGAAGCCATCTGCGCCGCCGCTGTCAGCGCCAAAGTCAGCGCTGACGTTCATGGCGTTGGTGGGGTCATTATCACTGACATCAGCCGAGCTACCGGAGCCAAGCCCCTGGCTCTCGCGCCACTCTTGCGCGTCGACAATGGCGGTCGCGTCATCAGGCGCGGCGTCCTCGCCGCCGTGTCCCATCGGGGACTCGGCGATCATGGTCGCCTCTTCGGCGTGGCCGCCATCGGCGGTCAGGTGCGCGAAGGTGTCGATGGCGGAGACGTGTTGCCAGTCTCCCATGCCATCGCGCCAGATGTAGCTGTCGGCTTGAATTTGCCCGACAGTAAAGCGCGCTTCGACCTCTTCGGCGGTCAGTGGGCCTTTTTGCTCGCCGTCGATGACGACGTACCACTCGGCGGCAGACGAAGTCTCCGCGCCAAAGCCCGCGCCGCCACCCTGGGAGGCGCCCTCACTTTCCGCACCCTGGGAGTTGCCCTTGACCACGATCACGTTGCTGCAATTGCGGCAACGGATCTTGAACACCTTTCCCTGGACCTTCTCATCAGCGATCGAGTACTTACGGCCGCAGGCTCCGCAGACGATCTTCATGGTGGTTCGCTCCTCGGAGTGAATCCTCGTATCACACGGTTCTCATCCCCCCTTCACCCGTCACGACATCGCCACCTGGGCGATGCGTAAAATCGAGCGGGGGAACCTCGAACATGGCCGCGTGACTTGACGCGACCATGCTCAGACGACATCGCCGCGTATCACGTACGCGGCGATATCCCTCATACATCACTCACTGAAGCGCCTGCTCCTCGCTGGTCTCGACGACCTTGGGGAGAAAGTCTTTCTTGAGCTTGCTCAGGCGGTTGAACTTCGCCTTCTCGCGCGCCTTCTGCTTCATGATGTCCGGCTTCTTGAACTGGCCGTCGATGAGCATATCGTCGAAGTTGTAGAACTTCGTGCGCGTCTCCTCGCCGCCGCCATCATCTTGCGCGAATGCATTCGGCGCAAATCCGACGACTGCCAGAGCCAGAGCCACTGCGATAAACTTTCGCATCGTGTCTCTCCTTTCTGCTTGCTTGCGATCTTACCCGGTCAAGCGACCACGTCTGGGCCCTCGACCGCTCTTGTTTCGTCGCGCCTCGTTATGGGAACGGATTCACACAGGTTTTGGTGGATCAAAGATTCGAAAACCTTCATCCAGCTCTCACTGCTCCATAAACCCTTTACAGGATCTCCCCTCGAGGCTGCTACAGCGTATCAGAGCCTTGCGAACATCGTCAACGAAACAGCCTATCCGAGAACAGGTTATCCGCACATTTGACTACATATCTGGCTCTTCTGCGCGCTCGACAATGCTATAACCCGCGCTCCCCCCTCGCAGGTTCCAGGATTTTAAGATCTTTTCAGTTCGCGCCGCTCAAGGCTCGCTCCTGGCTCGTCTCCTTGAGCTTTGGCAGCATCGAATGCCTCTCGATCCTGCCCAACTTGCGGAACACCGCGCTCTTCTTGCCCTTGACCTTCACCACGCTGGAGCCCTTTGTCTCACCCTCGATCTCGAGCCCCTCCATATCGTACCAGCGCTTCCTGGGCTCCTGATCTGATTGCGCCATCGCGCTCGCGCCCATGCCGCCCGTGATCATCGAGAACGCCAAAAGTGCCGCGCCTACCCTTCCCATCACCGATCGCTTCATCTCTTCTCTCCGTCGCTTGCTGTTGTAAAGAAACGCCAAAAAACAAAAGGGCCGCTGGCTTGTTTCAAGCCAACGGCCCTCTCTTCTGGACAACTGCGATCGGGAAAAGTTCCCTCGAATCATTGAATCAAGAGATCGGTTCGAGCACCTAGCCCTCAGGCGCCTCCTCGACCTCGCCCTCCTCTGGGCCGCCGTCCTCACCATCAGCTGGCGGAGTATCAGCGCCACCATCCTCGGTGGGCGCTGGCTCCTTTGGCTCCTGCTGGTTGGCCTGAGACTCGAGGAACTGGATCATCGCCTTGTACTGCTGCTGCTTCTCCTTCTCGGTCGAGAGGCTGAGCAGCTTGCGGTAGTGCTCGAGCGCCGCCTTGGGGTTCTTGAGCGGACCCTGATTGAGCGAAGCCAGGCGCTCGTAGCTCGAGATGTGCTTGGTGTCGCACTTCTCCACGTAATACGTGTAGCGCTTGACGGCCTCCTCGTACTTGGCCGTGGCGTACTGGGTCGCGCCGTAGCCGAGGTTGGCCACGCAGTGATCGGGGTTGATCGCGAGCGCCTGCTCGAACTGCGCGTTGGCGCGCTCGTAATCGAGGTACTCGATAAGGATCGAGCCCAGGTTCAGGCGGCTCTCGAGGTACCCGTCGTCGGCGCCATTCGCCAACTTGAAGGAAGCCACAGCCTTTGGCGTGTCATCCTCCATCATGTAGACGAGCCCGAGGTTGTTGTAGACGTCCGCGTTCTTCTTATCGAGATCGATGACCTTGGAGAACACGTACTTGGCAAGCGACAGGTTCTTCTGTTGCTTGTAGATCAGGCCGAGCGTGGTCAGCGCGGGGATGTTCTTCTCATCCTCGCGAAGGATCGTGATCACGTACTCCTTGGCCTTCTCCAGGTCACCCTTCTTGAGCGCGAGCACGGCGAGGTTGTTGCGCGCCTCCTTGTTGGAGGGGTCGCGCGCGAGCACCTCGTCAAAGAGCAGCTTCGCCTTGTCGAAATCGTCGGTCTCGGCGTAGACGCGACCCATGGCGACCTTGTACTCGGCCGCGCCCGGGTCATACTCGCGCGCCTTCTCGAGGTGCTCGCGAGCCTTCTCGTCCTGCCCCTGATACTCGTAGATCATGGCGAGGTTGTAGTGCGCCTCGGCGACCTCGGGGTGCGTCTCGAGCACCGCGTTGAACTTGGCGATCGCCCCTGCGCGATCGGGCTGCTCCTGCTCGAGCAGCGCGACGCCTTCCTGGTAGGCGATCCAGGCGTCCTTGGTCAGCCCGAGCGCCTCGGCCTCTTTCTTGGCCTTGTCCTCGTCGACCTTGGGCTTCTCGACCTGAGGCTTGTCGTCCTTCTTCTTATTCTTGCAACCGGTTGTCAGCCCGAGCGACAAAAGCCCGAGCATGGCGATCATGGCAGCGCGTTGAATCATGTCTCTATCTTCTCGCTTCTGGTGATGCGCGTCTCTCGTCGCCCCGAAGGGCTTGCTGTTCGAGCGCGCTCACGTCGTCTTCTCTTCTTAAACCTTTCCATGCAGTGAGTGTTGCCAGCGTCGCTGACAACACTCACGCTCTTCGCGCCAGCCTCACTTCGTGGGCTGAGGTTGCGCGCCACCGTTCGCGGCGGCCTCGGCCGCTGCCTTCTTGGCAGCCTCCTCGGCTTCTTTGCGCTTACGCTCCTCCTCTTCCTTGGCGCGGCGAGCATCCTCGCGCTCCTTGAGGCGGTCGCGCGCGTCGGCGACGGCGACGGCGGGCTTGGTCTTGGTGAAGAGCACCTGATCGTGCCCGGTCTCGACGCCATCCTGCTCGGTGATCGGGTAGGCTTGCGCCTCGAGCTCGGCGATGACCTCACACGACTTGCTGCTCCACTCGTTGTAGGCCTCGAGGTCGAGGGCCAACTGACGCGCGCGTTTGAACGCGGTGAGAGCTTTCTCCTGGAGCGGGAAGGCGTACTCGTCGAGCTGCATGCGGTAGAGATCTTCCTGATCCGGCGTCAACCCCGAAGGCATCGGCAGGTTGTAGAGCTCGTCCGAGAAGTTCTTGTACATCGACCCGACGCGGTATGCCGCAGCGGACACGAAGAACGGGTTCTTGAGGTCGATAACCTCGAAGTAGATCTTCTCAGCTTTCTGCTCGAGCTCACCCTTCTTGACGAGGTTCTTCTGCAAGGTGCTCATCGGGAAGGTCAGCTTGATCCCGGCGAACTCATCGTAGATGCGCTCGGCCTGGGTGAACTTGGCCTCGGAGACGTACTTGCGAGCGAGGCGATCTTGCGCCTTCTTGTCCTTCTCGTCCTTGACCGTCTCGAGGTGCGCGGGGAACTTCTCGGCGTAGGTCTTGTAAACCTTGTCGAACGCCTCGTCGGCGTTCTTCTGCCAACGCTTCCCTTTCATCTTCTCGTGGAGCAGGCCGATCTCGGCGTTTGCCTCGATCACCTCGTTGGGCTTGATGTCCTTGCGCTTGGTGAAGGACTCGAAGCGCTTGAGGGCATCCTTCCAGTTCTCGCGCTCCTTCTCGAGGTGCGCCATGCGCATGCCGAGCTCGCGCACGTTCTTGGTGACTTCCTCGTCGCCCGTCTTGCCATAGAGGTCGATGTACTTCTCGTAGACCTCGATCGCCTTGTCCCACTGCTCCATCGCCTCGCGCAACACGCCAGCGTTGTAAATAGCATCGGAGGCGCGCTCGTGATCGCGGTACTTCTCGTCAGCCAGGCGCTCGAAGTAAGAGGCGGCGCGGTCGAAGTCGGCGCGCGATTCGAAGATCGCGCCCATCACGAACAACGCCTCGGCGGCGCGATCGATCTGCTTCTCCTTGGCCTTCTCATCCTTCGGGTTCATCGCGACGACGCGCTCGTAGGTCTCGATCGCCTTGTTGATCTGCTCGCCGCGCTCGTAATACGCCGCGGCGTTGAAGACCGCGCCAGGCGCCAGATCAGACTCGGGGAACTCGTCAGCCAGGCGGAGCAGCTCGCTGGCTGCCTCCATCGGCTTCTTGGCCTCGTCGAGATCCTTCGCCTTCTCGTTGATGGCGAACGCGATTGTCTGCTGCAAGCCAGTCTTTGGCGTCACATCAAAGATCTTGTTCTCGAGCAGGTAGCGCGCCCACTTCTCGACCTCGTTCCAGCGCTCGAGGCGATAGTTCGCGTCGAGCAACGAGGCGCCCGCGAACGAGCGGTAGGGGTGCTTCTTGGGCGCGTTCTTGATGATGTTCTCGTAGCGAGGAACACACTTATCGTAGTGGCCACGCGCCTTGTAGATCTCGGCAGAGACGTAATCGACCGTCGGCGTGCGCTTGTCCTTGGGATACATCTCGGACCACTGGTCGGATGCCTCCACGAAGCTGAGCTCGTACTTGCACTTGGCGGCGATGTCGACCTTCGGGTTTGGCTTGTCCTCCTTGAGGTCCATGGTGTCCTTGGTCTTGTAGACACCATCCTTGGAGGACTCTGCGGCCTCGGCCATCTTCACCAAAATCGAGTCCTCGCACTTGGACTTGACCAGCTCGTTGTACGCGTTAACCGTGGCAAACGCTGCGAGCTCGACGGTCTCCTCGGCGTCCTCCTTCTTGATCCCCTTCGGGATCTTGTCCGCCTTGTAGAGGTCGACCACCTTCTGGTACTGCGCCGCCGCCTTCGGGAGCTCCTTGAGCTCGAAGAGGTAGATCTGCCCGAGCAGGAAGTTCATGTCGAACGACGCGGGCTTGTTGGGGAAGCGCTTGACGAACTGCTCGTAGTAATCGGCAGCCTTCTTGTAGTCGTCGATCGCGCCCTCTTTCTCCGCGCGCACGTGGTACACGTTGGAGAGGTAGGCCAAACTCGCCTCGGTCAACAACTCGGCGTTCTGAATCGCGCCCTTGTTTTCCTTGTTCTGAGTCGCCCAGGTGCCCGCCGGATCGAGGTAGGCGATGAAACGATTCATCGCAGCCTCGGTCGCCTCGAGGTTATTAACCTCTTTCTTCTTGGCGATAACAATCGACTCCATCCACTCGGGAATCTTCTTGTTGTTCGGGCGCTCGCCGATGAACCACTCGTAGATCTCGATGGCGTCTTCGTCCTGACCCTGCTGCTCGAGGTAGCCGGCCATCTTGCCCATCTGCTTGTAGGCGTATTCCTTGTCGCCCTTGGCCTGTGGGTCCTTGCCAGCGTAGCGCTTGTCGTAGTCGAGGAAGTAGGTGCGAGCCTCCTTCCAGCCATCTTCGAGCTGCGCGAAGCCAAGGATCAAATCGTTGAGCGCCTGGTTACGGAAGCCGATCGTCTGATCGTTGGTCTCGACGACCTGCTTGAACGTATCCACCGCCAGACGATAATCGTTCTGGTTGTAGTGCACCCAGCCGAGCTTGTAGCGCGCGTACTCGCGGAAGCCATAGCTCTCGAAGCCGATGACTTCTTCGTAGTTGGTCTTGGCGAGGTTGAAGATGTTCTTGTCGAAGTAGAACTCACCGAGCGCGAGGTGCGCCTCGGGCTTGTAGCGCGAGTTCGGGTAGTTCTGGACAAGACGCTGGAGCAGCGGCACAGCCTTTGCGCCCTCGCCAGCCTCGATCAACCCGCGACCCAGACGATAGATCACCTCGTCGAGGCGACTGTAATCCGGGTACTGCTTGAGGATGTCGGAGTAAATCGTCTGCGCGTCGCCGTAGTCGGCGACGGGCTCCTTACACTTGGACTCGTCGATGTTGCCAGCGTCAGCGGCGCCGAGGCACTGGTTGTACTCGGCGCGAGCGCGCAAGTACTCCCAGTTGCGAAGCTCCCAGAGGAGCTCGGCCTTCTGGAACATCCAGTCCGGCTTTTGCGCGGAGTAGGGATCGCCCTGAATGATCTGATCCAGCTTCTGGATCATCTGCATGTTCTTCGCTTCGAGCTCACGCTTGATCTTGTCGATCTCTTCGGGCGTGCGCTTGTCCACGTTGACATCTTTGCTATCGGCAGGGCCTTCGGACAGACCGAGGTCCTTTTTGTCCTTGGTCTTGTCCTTGTCGAGCGCCTTGGACTGATCCTTGGTGCGATCGAGCGTCGCCGAGATGTCCTTCTTCGTCGTCTTGCCTTCCTTCGAGACGTCCTGCGCGAAGGCAGGCATCGAGAAGACAGCCAAGAGCAGGCTGACAAGAAGAGTCAGAAGCGTGCGGTTGGGGCGAGTTCTGGAAATAGTTCTGTTCGTCATGGTTTGACTTACTCCGAGCGCCAATTGCTGCGGCAGTTACGGGTCCTCTCACTCCCGCTCACGGCTACTGTTTCTGCGCATGCGTCGCGCGATACGAGCCGGTTGTTTGCGAGCGGGTTTCCATCGTCTTGCTATCTCGAGCGGCCGACGGGGAGGCCCCTCTTCTCTAACTCCACCTTACCTCCCCGAATATATGGGGAGGTGGGTGGATGTATTACGAGCACTTGCCAGGCTTGCCCACGCGAACCGCGCCAGAGAGGGCAACCTGGCAAAGCCACCCGGTCACCCTCTTGGACAAGCGAGCCCATCTTATTCTTCCACAACGCACTCCGAACGGAGGTTGCTGCGGTAGTTCGACACCTCGTCGATCCAGTACTCCCCTTCGAAAGGCCAGGGGTGCCAGTCATCGGCGACCACGAGCAACGTCGTGCCCGAGTCTGCCGTTGGCTTGACGTAGTTCGGATTCTGAAGCTTCGCGGCCAGCGTGTCCTTCTCTTCCTTGTCGATATCGAAGGAGATCTGCGTGGCTTGGAGCGAAAGCGTATCGAGCTCCTGGTTGATCTCGCTCAGCTTCTGGAGCACGAGCAGACCACCCTCATCGGTCTTGAGCTTGAGACGCTCCTCGACCTGACTCAGGACCTCCTGGCCGAACTCGCCGAGCGAGCCGATGTTGGCCTTGAGCGCGTCGCGCTCGCTTTGCAGCGCGCGCACCTGCTTGTAGGTGTTGAAGAAGCTCAGGTCGTTGAGCACGGCGTCCGCGAACATGCGCGGCAGGCCGGTCTTCTTCGCGCCATCAGGCTTCTCGTAGTAGTTGATCAGCTCTTGCCAGGCCGCGCTCGGCTCGCCTTGCTGCATCTTGGCGATGTAGTCCTTCAAGGCTTGCTGCTTGCTCAGGTACTTCGCGTCGAGCTCCGCCAGGGCGAGCTTGGACTTCTCGAACTTGCAAAGGTTCAGATAAATCGTCGCCTCGAGCAGGTCGATGTCCGGGAAGAACCACTTCGAATAGTAAGGGCTGTTCAACGTCTGGAAGAGCCCCAGCGCTTTCTTGTGGTCGTTCTTGAGGAAGTACGTCCACGCCAGCTCGAGCTTTGCCTCCGCGTCACGCGAGGACTCGGTCGGGAGCTTCTGGTAGTAGAACAGCGCGACGTTGTAGAAGTCGGGGTTGAAGTTACCGACCTCGTAGAAGGTACGCGCGAGCGCCATGTAGCCGAGCTGAAGGATCTCCTCGTTACCGCCGCGCTCTTGCTCTGCGGCAAGGATCGCGCGCTGGAACGCTTCGATCGCCTTGGGCGCGGACCTGGCAAGATCCTCTTCGGTCTGGATCGAGCCGAGGAACGCCACGCCCTCGAGGTACTTCGCCTCGGGGTAATCCTCTGCGCCCTGCTCGACCTTGGCGAGCATGCCGCGCGCCTTGTCCATCTCGTTGTAGTCGAAGAAGAACTTACCGAAGTAGTAGTTAAAGTCGTTGCGGAAGTCCTTGTTGAAGGCGTCCAGGTTGGTCGCCGTGATCTCGACAAGGATCGGCGGCTTGTAGCCGATCTTGGCCGTGACCTTCTCCAACATATAGAAGGAGTCCTTGAAGTAAGGGCGGTCTGGACCGGCGCCAGCCTGGAGGACCTGCACCAGCGGGCGAGAGGCGCCCGAGTAGATCTCCTCGTTGAACAGCGCGCGCGCCAGGCAGTAGTTTGCCTGATAGGTCCCGGCGCTCGCATCCGCAGATGGCGCCATATTGACCTGAATGCCGTACTTCTCCGCGTTGCCGCCGACGAGCTCGTCGATGCGCGCCGCCGAGACCTCGACCTTGGCGAGGTAATCGCGGTAAGCCACGAGGTAGCCGAGACATGGACGCGCCGCGGCCATATTATCACCGCCCTTCTTGAGCTCGCCGATCGCGCGCGAAACACGCGTCGACTGCGTCTTGAGCTGTTGCTCGACGGCGCCCTTCTCTTCCTTGATCTTGTCGACCTCGGCGAGGAGCTGCTTGAGCTTTGCGGCGTCGACCCTGCCATCATCCTCTTTGCCGATGTCCGGGCCGCCAAGATCGGGGCCGGTCACATCGGGAGGCGTGTCGGGAGGGGTATCGGGTGGCGTGGTCGTGTCGGCGCCAGCCTTGGTTTTGACGTGGCCTGTTTGGCGAAGGTAGTCGATGACGCCTTGCGAGACGCCAGCGGCCTTGAGCTCTTTGAGCTCGTCTTCGGTGAACATCAACTCGTCGCCCGCGCTGTCGATGGCGCCCTTGATGGCGGCATCATCGAGACCGAGCTTGCTCATGTCCACGAGCTGCTTCTTCTCCAGGGCCACCGCGCTGCTCAGTGGCGCCGCCGCGAAGCAGGCGCAAAGCGCGATCATGATGGCCTGGCGCAGCCTTTTGCCAGGGGCCTTTTTTGTATCGTTTTGACGCTGGAGCATCTTCATTCACTCACTCTTCAAAGAGGATCTTCGAGCCGGTGGCCACCCCTCGAGGCGACCAAGCATACTCTAGAGATTGTCGAAATAACAAGGAAACTCACGAACTTGGACAACCAACCCTTGCAGCAGCGCGACCCTATCCTGGTGCCCCGCTACAACAAACCGTTCCTTAGAACATGTATGCCACGCCCAGTTGGAATTGCGTGGGGAGTTGGAACCGGCCGATGAATCCTTGATCTTCAAACGCAGCGGTCTGGAACTCCGGGCCACGGTAGAGGTGCCCGCGCCAGTCCATGCGCAACGTCAAAGCGTCGGTCAGGAAGAAGTGCATCCCGAAGCCGAAGATCCCCTCGATGGCGACCTTGCTGCTCGTCGAGTCACGCGTCGGCGAGGGGCGCTGGAGCCCGACGGCACCCAGGCCACCGACGAAGCTGAAGTCGAAGTGGGAGAGCTTGCGCTGCAAGAGCGCCCACTTCCCATAGAGCGGATGCCACGAGGCGACCGCGTTGGCGCGCCAGACGAACTTGTCCTCGGCGTCAGTCATGACGTCGAAGTTGTCCGCGCGCTCCGTCTCGAGGAAGTTCGTCAACTCGGTGGGGCGAGCGATCTCGTAGTCACCGCCAACCTCGACGGCGAACTGCTCGGTGATAAAATACCCGACGCGCCCACCCACAGGGATGTACCACCAGAATGGCTCGGTGGACTCGATCCCGGCAAAGACCGACACGTTGATGCGGCCTTCGCGGTTGTAGAGCTTGTTATTGACCATCGGGAGTTCGCGCTCGACCGACCAATATTCGGTGAGCTCTTCTTTCAAGGGACCGTCGACGTCGAGCTCTTTGCTCTCCTTGGTGCCCTTGTCCTGCGCCATCGCAGGTGCGCTCATGCCCATCATCAGGGCTACGAGCATCCACCACGCGGCGCGCTGCTTGGTTTGGCGGCTCATCTTCTGCATCCTCACGTTCTTATCCATCATCGTCATGCTCGCCCTCACTGACCGAACTTGGGCATCCACATCACCCCGAGTGAGATCTCACTCGGGTTGGAGACGCCGCCGGTCTGTTTCTGGAAGATGAACTGACGGTAATCGACGCGCAGCGCGATCTTCTCTTGCAGGAAGTACATCAGGCCGCCACCGATGACGCCCTCGACGTTGTTAAAGTCGAGCTGAGGCGCCTGACCGATGTCAGGTTGCGTCTGCGTGAGCACCCAGCCCACGCCGCCAAACAGGTAGAAGTCGAAGTACTTGAGCGCCTTGTTGCGCCAGGCGGTCTTGCCAAACACAGGGCTCCAGTTGACGCCGAAGTTCACGTGCGCGAGCTGCTCGTCACCGAGCAGGACGCTCGTGGAGCTGATCCCCTGATCATCGGTCAGCGTCGAACGCAGGCCGGTGTCACGACCGCACTTCCTGAACCCCGTGTCCTTCTCTTCCTGGTCACGCGCGAAGCCGCACGAGTAATTGCCAGAAAGCTCGAGCCCGATGTTCTCGAGCACGAAGTAATTCAGGCGAACACCGACGGGCCAGTACTGCGCGAAGATGTTGTTGGGGATCGTGCCGACGTACCCGGTCAGGCCAAAGCGCCCTTCCTTCAAGATCGAGCGCGGGTGCACCGTCTCGATCCCGCGTACTTCCGCCCAGAAGCGGGGGTCGTCGCGATCCATATCCTCGGGGATCGGATCGACCGCCCCTTCTTCTGCAGGCTGGCCGCCATCGGCTGGCGCCGCGGCGCCATCTTGTGCCAGCGCCGGGGCCGACCAGGTCAGGCAAGCCAGCGCAGCAAACAGCACTGCTCCAACTCGCCATTCACGCTTCGAGGAGATCCTCACCACACACTCCTTCTTCAACTCTATTCTTTTCGCTCTCATTAATTCTCTTCAGGCTCCAGGGCTCACCGCCCGATGCTGACAAATCACTCGCCGGCAAACAGCACACGGCGGTCATCGTAGTAGAGCCCGTCCTGAGACAGGTTCTTGCTCCTCTGGAGCCCATCGATGGTCACCTGGAACTCGGTCTGGATGTTGTAGGGCTCGCCCGAGGTCAATTGCCCACGGTTGTACGCGTCGAACGTCAGCGGGACCTCCCACAAACCATCCATCGCGTAAGGGAGGAAGTTGATCTTGTCTCCCAGCGACTCGACATCGGGGAAGTACATGTAGGCGCCGCCCGTCTCGCATGCGATCTGCGCGTACTCGTCGACAGGGCCGATGCGTCCGTTCTCATCGCGAGCGATGGCGCAATACGTCCCGGTGGTCTTGCCCGCCGGGTCCGTCACCATGGAGCCATCACGCTCGGCGAAAGCCGTCACCGCGCGACACTCCTCGAAGTTCTTGCAGTCATCATTCGACGCGCACTCGCTCTGCGAGCTGACATAGTCAGGAAGATCGGGGAGCAGCGGCACACCGGAAGGAAGCGCCGTCTCGACCTCGCGCTCGAAGTGCACGATGAAGATGCGGACGCGCTCCTGGGTCGCGACGTCGATGACGTTCTGCGCCGAGAGCGAGTCGAG